GTCGAACCCAGATCTGCTGGGTTCAATGGCCTGCCGAGGAAGAAGAGGAAGAAAGAAGAGGAAGAAGAGGAAGAAAAAGAGAAAGGAAGAAGACGAAAGTGTTTTATTTTTTATTTTTAAATATAAATAATGTGACTTGGCATAAAAAAAAATATCCATATCATGAAAAAAAAAATCCACATCAACATGTTTTTAATTTGTTTTTGCCACGCCATCAAAAAAATAATAAAAAATGCCACATAAGCGAGTTAACGATTGAAATTAACAGAAGGACTAACGGAGTGTATTTCTTAGAGTTAAGGGATCAAAAAAGTGCAAAAAATTGTTGAGGGATCAAAAATATGCAACTCACTAAAGTTGAGGGACCAAATCTAGCATTTAACCATTATGTTTCTGTGATATTTCCTATATTTGTTTTTTCTTACTTTTTCTTTCTCGTCTAGTAGTGCTTGTCTTTTCCTGCTTTGCTTTTTCTTGTTTTATTCCTTCTTATCGGGTGCTTCTCTTTTCCTGCTTTCTGCCACCATGTGAATACATGACCAAAGCCGACTGTCCCATTTCTTTGAAAGTTCTAATTTTCTATTCTTTACAAATTAAAGTTAATTTCTTGCCCTATTTTCCGTCACCTCTTTTGTTCTTTTTCTAATGTAAATAAATAGAAGTTTCCATGATGACTCTTTTTGCTGGAGGTAAGTTTCTGGGAAATGGAATTTCCTGTTCCTTAGTTTTCCCTTCTATTACTTTCTAAAAGGTAAATTAATGGAATGTTTCCATGGTATCTTCTTATTTTGTTGATAAATTGTAATTATAATTTTCAAAAGAGATTGATGCTTATATCTGTTGTACTATTTAAAAATTAAGATAAACATTACATTAAAATTATGTTGTTTAAAATAAAGATTAACATTTGTTGCTTAGTTAGCAAAGCTAAATATATATATATAGGGCGAATAATGCTTATCTGTCTTATTTTTTAAAAATTAAAAAAAATATTATTTTAAACTACATTTTTTTAATAAATACTTATTAAAAAATATTAAAATATTTTATTTTTAAAACATGAATTAAGGTGTTTTTTTTGTCATTTTCCTCTTAATTTTTTAG